CGGGATTGGAGTATGGGGATTGCGAATCCCGCCGAATCCCTAAACCGAAACCCCTAAGGCCAAAAGGTGAGCAGACGGTTGGGTTGGGGTCGGGTGCCCTGAACACCTAAGCGGGGGGCTTTACCTGAACACCCAAGGGAGGGAAATACGAGCAGAACTCCAGGTTGATGTGTTTGGCCCACTTAAGGTTTGGGGTTAAGTGTTGGGTTCGAAACTTTGGGATGGTACCGGGCTCTGAGTTTGGGGTTACGGTATACTGGTAGAGGATTTGGGGCTTGGAATAGCAGAAGGCCAGGGCACCTGCTTTTCCATCACAAATCCGGTGCACCCCAGGTAACGACCGATCCATCGCCCAGGATAGCAGCAAATCCGCCCTCCTCACAAGCTTGGATATGCTGCACATTCTGCAGCTGATCCTGCGAGGCACAGCTCACGCCGTCGGCAGTAGTCCAAACCTGCAAAGAGCCGTCTTCAAGAATAGCAGCAACGGCACGATCAGTGGCTTGGATCTGCTTCACTTTCTTCCTGGCCTCGAGCTCGTCGTTGATCCTCCAGCCCCAAGCAAGTGCAGCACCATCAGAAAGGGCGACAAACCCAGACTCGGAACATGCAATGCCATCGATTCTGGACAACTCTACGTGGTTGCTGCATCCACCGCTTCGCGCATTTCCCCACGTCGTGACGGATCCATCAAAATGTAAGGCGGCAAAAGCACCAAAAGAGGCTTGGATCTCACGCACGTTTATAAGCTTGTACTGCACAGCACGGCTGTCGCCTCCGCTCGCTACATCGCCCCAAGCGACAACGGATCTGTCCTCAAGAATGGCAGCGAAGGCACCGCTGGAAGCTTGGATGCATTGGACCTTCTTCAGCCGATACTGCACATCGCTGCAGTCGCCACCAAAGTCCCCCTCGCCCCAGGTAACAACAGATCCATCGGCAAGAATAGCTGCATAGGCTTCCGCATTGCTTTGGATATCCCGCACGTTCTTGAGCTGATGCTGCACGGCTGAGCAGTCGCCTCCTTCTCTATCATAGCCCCACGCGACTACGGAGCCATCGCGAAGGATGGCGGCGAAACTGCCCCGAGTAGCTTGGATCTTCTGCACATTCCGAAGTTGGGCCTGCACGGCACTGCTGTCCCCACCATCCTCGGCAGAGCCCCATGTCACAACAGAACCTTCGGCAGTAATGGCTGCAAACGCCATTTCGTTTGCCTGAATGCATACCACACTCTTCAACTGATCCCGCACAGCGCTGCTGTCACTACCGTAGTTAGGGTTGTTTCCTCCCCACGTCACCACGGTACCATCGCCGCGGATGGCTGCAAAAGCACGCTCCGTGGCTTGCAAATGCTGAACGTTGACAAGTTGATCCTGCACAGCCCTCGAATCCCCGCCATACAGGCGATGGCCATAGCAAGCGACGGAACTGTCACCAAGAATGGCAGCAAAAGCTTTGTCAGTGTGCTGAATGGCAGTTTGTGAAATATGCAATGTCAAAACATCACCGTTCTGAAGTTTGGCTCGCTTGACCGATGCACCAGTGGAATCAACTAGCCTGCCGGTTCCTACTCCAAGTGACATCTGCGCACGCTTCTTCAGTGATTCCAGCGACTCGTCTTTCTCAACTGCGAGCGTGGTCGCCCTGCCACTCAAGAGTGTAATCTCAACAGAGGTTGAGGTATCCATGATTTGCAGAAAACGTCAGAAAAAAGCGATATCGCGGAAGCATGCAAGGTCTAGGACTGCGCACCTAGATAATGCGGGACATGCTGGATGGGCCATGTTTTCAGGGTTTGCTTGATTCAATCATGATGACTCCACTTACTCCCCCAATAATCCACATGCACAAATGAAAGGTTAAACTTTCCGATTCCTACTAAACTATAAGAACCCCAACAATGTACAGCTTGCGTCCGTAGTTACGTAGTAGTTCGGCATTGCGGATCGAGAGCCGATAAGTCATGGCATGTCAAATGTCATGCAATCATATCATGCTACAATAACAATGCCCAATAGCTTCAAAACACACTGCCCCCGAACCCAATGCCAAGATCAAGCAACCCCCCAAGCCCAGTGTCGAAATCAAACTACCCCCGAAAGTCCCGAAAGTCCGAAAGCCAGCAAGAAACAAATTCATGGCACATGTGGAAGCTTCCTACGCTCCAAGAGCCCGGCGGCACCAACTTCGGAGTCGAAGGAGGGCACCCGAGCAGCCACACACTCGCAGGACTCCTGCGAATCGGGCTGGGGTTTACGGCAAAAGGCCGGGGCAGCAGAACCAGGCACTCCTGCACGCACACAGACACTCGCTCGAGAAAGAAACCCCGCACAAACCCAGACCCTTCCAAAAACAAAAGAAACCCCGGCATCCAAACCCTCTGAGAGTCGGTACCGAGCAAGGAGAGGTCCGGACCTGGGTGGGATGTAGGCGCACACACAAAGCACGCAAAGAGAAAGCAGCCGGGTCTTGCCACGCACGAACCCCTCTTTTCCTCCCCTCTTATCGGCGGAATGCGTCAAGCAATGTGTCAAGCTGACCTCTCTCGTACAGAGTCTTCAGCAGCGCCAGCTTCCATCTCTCCTTGTCCTGATCGTCGTCCACTGCCCGCATCGCGCTGCGGAGAATCCTCCACAGGGCCAGCGCTCTCTTGTGCAGCGCTCGCCTCAGGACTCGCCTCCTCAACGCCTCGCGGCGCGCGAAACGGCCGAGCTGCATGGCTTGAAACTCGCTGCCAAACGTCGAGCTCTGCAGGCAGCTGGGGATGTTGGACGCCAGTCCAAGCTCCGGTTGAAGCTGTGTTGCCGAAAGTCAACCTCCGCAGGCTGTTGGGTAGCTCGATGCCCTCCAGGCTTCAGCTCAAGTCGGCTGCGATGGGGGAACGCAGGGCACTCTAGTGTTACAGGTGGGAAAGTGGCAGCAACAGGCACTCCTGCACGCACTCAGCCAGAAAACCCCAAACCCACAGAAATCCGAACACACAACCCCCGGCGAGCACTCAGCAGAAGTTGTATGCACTGCACTCAGTCACTCAGACATGGAATCCAATGCGAAAGGCAAAAGGCATGCAAGCCTGAGCGGTGCAGACAGTTCTGAAGCTCAGGTCCGGACTCACCGACGAAGCGACGTGCAACAAATGGGCCGCAAATTGTGTGTTGTTTTAAGCCAATCGAGAATTGCAATCAGATGTGCCAGGCATTTGTGTCTACTACTGCTGCTGCTGCTGCTGCTGCTGCTGCTGCTGCGCTGCTAGGATATGTTCAAAACACTTCCGCTATGGCCTAGCCTAGAGCTCGGCGGCGGCGCGGCAAGGTGCAAAATCATCGAAAAACTGAATAATTGTTTCAAGCCACACTCCCAAAATATTGTGGCAGCAAGATGTTTGGATTTTAAGGAGATTAGGGCATTCGGGCATTGAGGCATTAGGGCATTAGGGCCATTAGGGTTTTTTAAGCCAATCGAGAATTGCAATCAGATGTGCCAGGCATTTGTGTCTACTCCCCAAGCCCCCTCTTCTGAGCCCAAGTTTTCGTCAGATATGCCAGGGATTTGTTCTAAGAGCCAGGTTTTACCAAAAAACGGAGTGAATGGCACATTGAAGTCGATTTCCGTATGCCAACGATTTGTGAATTACTATAGGCCCAAATTTCGCGGCTCCAACAAGAGTGTGTGAATTCATCACAAGCAGAAAGCTCAATAATCGTGATGGGGCAATGCAAATTCAGGGTAGATACAAATAGTTATCCTTATCCTGTGATGTAGATCGACCCTACATTGTACCCTACATGACGACATACATGCCATACTGCCATATGTGCACAGCGGGGAGGTTCCGATGTATGGCAAACAAATCTAAAAACGCAAGGCCTGCTTGAAATTATCCCCCGAGTCCCAAGGCCCAAACAAAAGAAAAACAACCAAGACCAACAACCAACAAAGTTATAAATTTTTTTCCGGCCAAACCCCCCCGACCCGTGAAATTTAGCATGCACACCTATTACACCAATACACATACATAAGAATGCACATACATACAACAATCCGTGCGCCTGCGCATATGCATGCACGCACATGTATGATATGTGTGCCTGTGTCTATGTGTGTATATATACATATATATATATACATGTACACATACATATACATACATGTATCGTATAAATATACATATCCACATACGTTCACCTATACAACCACATCCACATGTACCATTTGCAATGACATACATACATACATACATACATATACCTATCGAAGTATCTACATATCTATCTATCCATCTATCTTTATTCACATGTGTATATGTATGCATAAACATATATACGGATACACAACACATACATATATACATACAAATATTACTGTATGTATACAAATATTATTGTATGTATGTATGTATGTATGTATGTATGCCCGTATGCACGTATGTGCGTATGTGCGTATGTACGAATGTACATAATATGTACCTATGTACGCATGTATGTATGTACCGGTATGTACTAGTATGTACTAGCATGTACCATTATGTGCTAGTATGTACTCGTATGCATGTATGTATATGTATGTGTGTATATATATATATATGCACAGAGAGAGAGTATATGTATGTATATATGTATATGTGTACACATTGGTTTGAAGCAGACCAATGACTCCCAACAAGGGCCTGCGCCAGCCACGGGAACCATTCAAGGACATGCCAACATCATATGGGAGTTTCCGAGAATTAGGGGTACCTTATTTAGGGTCCTTATAATAAAGATCCTACTATTTTGGGTACTATATTAGGGTCCCTTGTTTTCGGAAACCCCCATATAGTTTTAGGGTTTAGTTTTGGGTTTAGGGTTTCAGCGGCTACAAGTACCAGGCCGCCATCATCATCCTTAACACTTGAGTTGAAGCCCAAACTATCCATCCCCCTACATCCTACAACAAGACCCTCGACACTAAACCCTAAACCCACAACCCAGAGCAGAGCACAAGAGGCACAGCGGTGCCTTTGAAGCCATTAGCGGGACTTCGCTTCGCCTTCTGCCTGCCAAAACCAGCTGGTATGGAGGGCCGAGTTCGGTTGTTCCTTTGCGGATTCCTAACCCCAAACCCTGAACCCCAGACCCCAAACCCTGAGCCCTAGATCCTACCCTAGCCCCTGCACACTACCCTAAGCCAAAACTCTCGAGGGTTCCCCTGAGGGTTTTAGGCTTTCGCGGGTTTTGGGCCTTAGGGTTCGGGGTGCTACGGTGGATGATATAAATCTTGCATTACCTGAAGGACCCTAAACTATGGGAATTATGGGATATTCCTTATTATATATGGGTAGTGCAGGATTTAGATCATCAACCGTACAGGTTAGAGTCTCGCGCAGTGTAAGGGTTTTAGGGCTGGGGGTTTCGGATTTGGGCGGGTTTGCGGTTGAGCGTGTGGTGTTGAAAGCGAAATGTTTCAAGGTTTGAAGCTCAGGTTTACAGAAACCGCAGAAGCAACAATGGAGCAGCAGCAGCGCTCTGAAAAGTAATACCCGCTTCCCACTGCATCGAATGTCACAGCGGCAAGTCTTCGCTGAGTGCGCTTCGCAGTATCCAGATTTGAGGAATTACCCAGAGCCCAGGCCATAAACGCTAGAACCTATCACCTAGCGAGAACTCTATTAACCCTGAACCCTATGTTTAATCCCTCAACCCGAACCCTAAACCCGAACCCTTCTTAAAAAAGAACGCTATGGCCTGGAGATGAGCTTGTAGTTCAAGAGAGACTTGTTCGACTCCCATCCATGTCCGTGCTCTCGATCCTCCCAGTAGGAGTCCTGCAGCTTGAGGGTTTAGGGCGTAGGAGTTTAGGGTTTAGGGCCTAGGCTTTTTTTAAAGTGCTTAGGGATTAGGGTTTAGGGTTAAGGGCTTAGGGGTTTAGGGTTTAGGGTTCAGGGTTCGGGGTTTAGAGTTTGGAGTTCAGCAGCTCCAGGTCGAGCAGTTTCTAGTTGAATTCGCTTCTTGGGTACCGGAACCATCTCACCCACCCAAGATTCCCAGACTGAGCCCTACACCCTAAACTCTAGAGCAGCTGAGCCCTAAACCCTAAACTTTAGAGCCCCCCCAAAAAATGCCAACAAACACCCGCTGCCCACGAATCCTCGTACCTCGTACCGCTACGAGTTTACGTTTCGGGGGGGGATGACGCCCATCCACACGACGTTGAAAAACTCTCTCTCCATAGACAGCCGCTTCGAAAGCGATACACCTAAACCCTAAACCCTTAATCCTAGACCCGAAACCACTAATCCCAAAGCCACAGAACCCCAAACCCCTGTGCGCCATCCCCGTCCTTCATCGGCACGTCGCAGTATTGCTGCCCTCTCTCGCAAATCTGCGCCTCTGAAGCAACAAAGGCAAGTTCGGGAGCGCAGCATGAGAACAAAAGCCACACACACACACACACATTTCAAGCGAAGCCCGTGAAGAACACGCAAGTGGTCCGCTAGCTATGAGCAAGCCGCACTACCTCTTTTACTCACAGGCTAGAGAGAATGTAGTCGCAGTAAAGAAACATTACGACTGTACACGATCACACTTTAAAAATAATAATAATAATAATACTAATAATACTAATAGTAGTACTAATAATAATAATAATACTAATAATAATAATAGTAAAAAACCCTTGACATGGTGCGATACAAATCTACGGCCCGGAGCCCGGAAATGGCCGTCCGTCACTTTAGGGTTCAGGGTTTGGGGTGGTTTAGGGTTTAGGGTGGCTTAGGGTTTAGGGTGGTTTAGGGTTTAGGGTGCTATCACATTCAGTACGACTGTCACTTCACGATATTTTTGAGCCTCCTGCCCACGCATGGAAGCCCAAAGTTTGCACCCCAAACCCTGAATCCCGCACCTTGAACCCCAAACCGTAAAGCCTGGCTGGGAGGCTCCGGGACGCTTTTACTAAAATGAACTAACCTTCCCTGCTCCAGTTTACAATAAACTACAAAACCTGCTTTTTGTAGGGTCCTCACAACTTCTATATGAGGGTTTGTGATAAGAATCTACCACAAAAGTAGGTAATGGTAGTTTAAAGTAGGATTTACGTTAGTGGCAGCTTCGAATGTGTGAAACCAAGTGAAGCTACCCCCCTAAGCCCTAAACCCCAAACCCTGAACCCGTAAACGCCGAACCCCCTACCCCCCAAAAGCCCCTAAACCGTCCTTGGTCAGGAACCCCGCGTAGGTTAGGGACTTCTCGCCATCCCAGAGAGCCCGCAGAATGGCATAGCCACCACCTTTTTCGGGGTCGGATTCTTCCGAGAACCCTACAAAAGGGTCTATAAGTTCTACAACGGTTCCATCAGGATTCTCCTGTAGGGGCCTTAATAATAAGAATAGGGTTTGGGGCCCATTAGACTATATACGTATGATAAGGAACCCCAAAACAGCAAAGGTAATTACTAAGGCCCCTATACTATTACAAGGGGGTCTGCAAGGGGTCGAGGAGCAGGTCAGAGGCTTGAAGTTCCCGGGGTTGGATACTTGTCTCGTAACCTGTCGGGTCCCACCCCACCGAGCTCGCAAAACCCTCGAATTCGAAAACCATAAATCAAAGGGGAAAAGGAGGGACCCTTAATGGGGACCCCTATCCAAAAATGGGCTATATAATGGGTACATAATAGCTATATTAAGGGTATATACCTAGGGGTCCCTATTAAGGGTCCCTCCTTTCCCCTTTGGAATAAAACCATCGCCGATATCGCCGAGCCCAACACCTAAACCGAAAATCCCGGAACCAACTAAATCCTGGCTCTAAGCTCCAACTCCGAAGCTCCAAAGACCCTAACTACGGTTGATGATATGGGAGTTTCCGAAAATAGGGTACCTTATTTTGGGGTCCTTATAGTAAGGATCTTACTATTTAGGGTCCTATATTGGGGTCCCTGTTTTCGGAAACTCCCATATAAATCCTGCATTACCCATAATGAAGAATATACCATTATTCCCATAGTTTAGGGTCCTTAAGGTAATGCAGGATTTATATCATCAACCGTACAGCTAAACCCAAAGCCCTAGACCCCCTCTACCCCGAAACCTTCCTCCCTAGCTCTACAAGCCCTGAAGCCCTAAACCCTACACCTAAAACCATTAAAACCCTGAAACCCTAAACCATGAAACCCTGAAACCCTAAACCATGAAACCCTGAAACCCTGAAAATCCTAAACCCTAAACCCTGAAAACCCTAAACCCTGAAACCCTAAACCCTGAAAATCCTAAACCCTAAACCTCTAAACCCTGAAACCCTAAACCCTGAAACCCTAAACCCTGAAACCCTAAACCCCTAAACCCTGAAGGCCTAAATCCCCTGAGATCAGAAGATCGGCCTCGATAGCGCATGCCATTCAGGTAGGGATGGCCGCCTGCGGGTTTGAGGTGTAGGCCTTGGGGTTTTAGGTTTAGGGTTTAGGGTTTAGGGGTTTACGTTGGGTTTCGGGTTTGGGTGTATCAAAGGGGAAAAAGAGGAACCCTTAATAAGGACCCCTACCCTATAATGGGCTATATAATGAGTATATAATAGCTCGGTTAAGGGTATATACCTAGGGGTCCTTATTAGGGTCCCTCCTTTTCCCCTTTGAGTGTAGGCCTTGGGGGTTTTTAGGGTTCTGGGTTGGGTTTAGGGTTTGGGGTTCAGGGTTCAGGGTTTGGGGTTTAGGTGGCTCAAGGTTCGGGTCCAGGTCTCTGTTGGTGATAGAGTTTACGAAACAGGATTCGCGCCGTAACTGCCAACTGGGTTTAGGGTTTAGGGTGTAGGGCTTAGGGCGTCTACGGTTTAGGGTTTAGGGTGTAGTTTAGGGCTCTTCTCTGGCACTGGTTCTTACGGGGGCCTCCAAGGGCTACCAGGAAAACTGAGGGCCGTGGGCCGCCCAAACAGCACTTCAAAGCCCAATCCTACACTCCTCTTACAGTAGAAGCCCAAAAGTTGGAAACCCAATAGCATCAACCCTTAAGTCTATGTCCTGGGTTTCCACACGGCCACACTCTTCAAAATTATCGTTCTATTCGCCCACAAGCAGAAAGAACGATACCGTGCAAGTATGTGAAAGCGTGCAGAGAATGGGCAACTGCCGAACATAACAAGGTTTTCTGCTGGTCCCCAACCTCTTCACACATTCACACTCTTCAAAATTATCGTTCTCTTCACCGACAGACAGAAAGAACGATTCCGGCAAAGTATGTGAAGAGCTCGAGAGAATGGGAGGGTGACCGCGAGATTAAGAGTAATATATAGGGAATCCCAGCACTATTTGGGCTGAATCCGGTTTCCAACTTTAAGGAGTTTATTGTAAAGGATCATGGGACATAGTAACCAAGGTTATTATTAGGGTGCGTGTACTTACAATTGCGGAAATCTGAACAATAAACTTCGTTTGTGTGTTGCAGCAGGGATCTATGAAGATTCTGTAGATTTTGGGATTTGGGGTTTATGTGCAGCCCTTGGAGCAAACAAATCGAGGTCTGGCTACTTGGAGGTTCATGGGTAGTTATAAGTAGGGGTAACTATACTTATAACCCATATTAGGACTTATAACGCTACTTATAACTACCCATAAACCTCCAAGTAGACCCTAAAAGCACCAAACTCCCTAGAGCCCCCAGACCCTAAAACCCTAAAACCCCGAATGCCCTAAAGCCCTAAAGCCCTAAAACCCCGAAACCCTAAAGCCCTCAAGCCCTAGAATTTGAAAACCCTAAAGACCTGAAGCAACAAAGCCCTAAACACATAAAACTAACTCGAAAACTCTGAAACCCTACGCCCAGCGACAAAACTGCAACGCTACAACCTTCATGTCCGAAACCCTGAAACCCTGAAACCCTAATGCCCGAAAACACAAACCCTAAAACCTCAAACACGAAAGCCCTCAACCCAAAGCGCCCTAATATATTTACTACCCTTAGATCCCTTATAGTAACTCTTACATAGAGCCTTTTAACGGAACCCTATTCCAACTATTAAGGCCACTATATTGAACCTCTACGCCTGGTGCCGACAAGGCTGGCGTCGGCCGCATGGCCGCAGCGGCCGCAGGGGCCACTGCATCGCCACGGCAGATCTGCTCCTTACAACGGTTCCCAAAGGATCCCAAATACCTATATATATATATATATAGATAGAGATATGTACACACAAGAATGTAGGGTTTCTATATGAGGAACTCCTATTAATTATGGTTTGGGTAATTATTCCACTCTCTGGGGTGCTCTACAGGGGATTCGAGAGGCAGTTCTGTTTTGATGGGCTCTCTAAGGCGGCGGGTTTAGGGTTTGTTCAAAAGGGTTCTTAGAATAAGATCCTGTACAACGGCCGTATATGGGTTCGAAAACCTGATTTACTGGAGGAGCCGGGGTTGTGGCTGCAATGTTCTGGTATTGGGACGACAGGCGGCTATGACTGCTAGGTTTTCCGACCCCTAAGGGTTCAGGGGTCCAACGTCAAAACCTAGCTGTCCGGTCTAAGGGCTTAAGTGAGATGAACCACAAGCCCTAACCCAACACCTGAAGGCTCAACCCACACACTGAAGAGCTCCTAGTTGCATGCAGTACAGCTTCAGTGCCGATCACGCTGCCTCTATCTGCTGCTCAAGAGGATACAGAGCCATCCAGTAGCCTCCCAGAGAGAGTCCTACGGGACCCGGACCTTCAGAACTCCGCAAGTACTCACCCCGAAAATTCAGTTTAATGCTGTTGGGTCTTGGGGGTTTTACGAGTTTAGGGGCTTGGGGGTTTTGTCTTGATTGGGGACTGGAGGTTTAAGGCTTAGGGCTCCCATCTGCTGGCAAGGGCACACAGTACTCCCGGGCGGACTTGCAGAACTCTGCACTTTCCTTCGGCAGATTCTGAACTGAGCCTTTGTTCGTGATCTTGATGTCCTCGCAAGGAGATTGCTAGTCCAGTCACTTAAAGGTCGAGGGTTTTCGGCTTAGGACTTATGGCTTCGTACTTTCGTCCGTTCGCTCGTTCGGGCGTTCTTTCGTACGGATGCTTTCTCTTTTCGCTCTTATGAAATGTGCTCTCGCTAATTTGCTCAGTTGAAGGCCAGGAGAAGCACATAAAGAAAAGCAACAGCCATGACGAGGATGATGGCGATATTGAACATTACGAGGAGGAGGAGGAGGAGGAGGAGGAGGAGGAGGAGGAGGAGGAGGAGGAGAGGACGCCGGCAAAGGCGGTGACAAGTACTTGGGCCATGAAACAAGCAGTAGCAAACACAACAGCAAGTCTGTGATGGTATATACCACCTCGACAAGATACAACTCCATGCCACAATTGGTAGGTAGAAGACAAGACGACAGACGACACTACCTCATAAGTCATACACCCAAAGAGGGAGTCAGATTGTGATCTTCACTCAGCATTCATGAAAAGCATCAACATGCAAATAACTTATCCGTAAGTGACGGCAGATCCCCAGGAATCGCGGTTGCTGGTTGAGTCCTTCTGCACTTTCCGGATCGCGTCGGCCGCCTGACCGCGTGGGATTGTGGTTGCAGGTATCAGGTATGATCTGGGCAGTGTAGGAACCTGATTAAGAAACCCTGGGCTCTATATATATTGATCCTACTATTTTGGGTTATAGGGCAAGTTTTGCTTAATCTGGTTCCTACATTATGGGGTTCAGGGTTTAGGGTTTATGGCTTAGGGATTCCAGGATCCCCGCTGCTGCAACCAGCCCGACGCCAAGGACGACTGGCAACAGCTAGCGCCCGCCTTCTGCCAAGCATGCCAGTTCTTTCCCCTCGGTTGGGGGCAGGGCCAGGGAGTCCCTCTCAAGATTGCACAGATCCTTCACAGTCCGCCCCTTCCGACCCTAAACTAGATACCAACCATTCAGCACAGCACTAGGGTTGCTAGAAAGCCCACAGTGTAACTATGATGTTCGACAGCGGTAATGGTCAGCAAGTAGCTGTCACACATGCCACAAGGCCAGGAAGCCCGGCATACTGTGATCTGGACAACAACCGAAGCACAAGATACGTGCTTGCCCAGTTGCAAGGTAGACAATCCGTACTGCAGCTAGTAACCAACTCTGACCCGCAAGGCCTTTGAATGCTGTAATGTACGGAAAGCTGAAGAATTGGACTCTACGATGCTCTCGACTGCAACCTTGAAGAAGATGTGAAGTGATTCGAACTAATCAGGTAGACCCCTGATTCACAAACCTTCTTCGTTAAGGGCCGTACTCGTAAAATCCCAAAAAACAATCAAGTTCTCATGGCTAAGGTGGCCCAAACCCTACTGTAGTAGTACCACAAAGCCCGGGAAGCCGAACAAGCCCAGGCACTGGCACTGGCGCTCGGCGGCTTGTGACTCCTTGTTGTTTGTCTTTTAAGTTCTGAAGAAGGCTAATATAAGTGCCTTAATGATTAGAATAGGGTTTTGGGGGTGTAGTCTACACTATACTTACAATAGGGTCTACAAGAAGATATTGATAAAAAATGATTCCGACACTTATCTGGGCTACTTTGCTTTGGGATCTCGCGTTTTATGCTGGGGGGTGCCGGTGCAGATTCTACACCGTCGTGGACCTACGAGATCGGATTCTAGCCGCCTAGGTGATGGGTTCTGGGCCTAAGGTGCAGGATAGGGTTTAGGGTTTAGAGTTCAAGGTTTACGGTTCAGGGTTTAGGGTATAGGGTTCTTTTCTTGTTTTGGAACCCTCTTTTGAACCCTCTTTGGGGTATAGGGTTCAGGGCTTAGGGGAATCGCCTGCAAGTGCTGAGAGCTCAGAATGTTCAACCTGCAAGCGCCCGACACCATTGCAGAAGAGGCGAGTGACCAAGCAAGTCAACAACCACCGAACTCCGACAACCGCAAACTCGCCGTACAAAATCTCAAAGCGTATCACCGTTTAGGGTAAAGGCTTTAAGGCTCACTGACTTTATTTATCATGTCCCCGGCACCCCCGAACCACTAAGCCCCGAACACCCCAACATCCTGAAAGCCCAGAAGCCCAAAACCCTGAACCGTAAGCCGCTGTACATCCAAGGGTCCAGTGCACGGATCAGCTCCTTATTGAAGGGCACCCGAGCTTTCGGCGGCATCACGCGCCGCAGGCGCGATAAATTCAGGAAAAGGTTTAGGGTCTAACGGGTCGTTAGGGGGTCTTTGGGGGTGCAGGGAGTGAGGTTAATGGTGCGAGGTTGGGGTATGTTGGGGTTGCACAAGCTTGTGGGTTGGGGGCTCAGGAAGGAATTGTGGGGTTCAAGGGCGGACGGCTGTAGAGTTTGATGCGCAGTGCTTGCGCTTCGACTCGTGTTGGAGAGTCTGGGGTTTGCGTCATTGCAAACTCCACTGCCTAAGCTATCATACGATTTCAGGGTTAGGGTCTTAGGGCTTAGGGTTTAGGGCTTGGGGCTTCAGGCGCTTTTTGTTAGAGACGCTTTTTCCTCACTGCAGAAGATCAGAAACTCTTAAGACCCGAGCTGACGGTGAAGACACAGCGGCTGATTTAGGGTCTAGGGGTTTAGGGTCTGGACGTTGGGGAAGGCTTTGAGGCTGGAGCCGACTAGTCCATGTTGAGGCCAAGTCGTGATCGCAGAGCTTGGTGCGTTTCAGCTCGAATCCGCTTTGGGCTTTGTGTAGAAGTCGTGGCACTTGGGAGTTCAGGGTCTGGTTTAGGGTTCCATAAGGCATTCGGCACAGGGAGCTCTGAAACCCAGCCCTCAGGCAATCTGCTCTTCCCAAAACTTGGAATTAAGCTATCAGCTGCCAACCTTCCACCCCCAAACCTTGATGCTGATAAGAACTTCTCCCTACAAACTTGTTTCTGCAGAACTGCACTATGCTGAGAAAGGTTGTGATTGTTACATTCGCCAGTGGTGCTACCACACTTCGTAATCAAGCCGTGGGAGAAGCAAAAAGAGTGAGAACGATGCTATTGGAAGTGGTTCTGGTGGTGGTGGTGGTGGTGGTGGTGGTGGTGGTGGTGGTGGTGGTGGTGGTGGTGGTGGTGGTGGTGGTGGTGGTGGTGGTGGTGGTGGTGGTGTCGTACTCGTCGTCTTAGTCGTAGTAGTAGCAGCCACTATACTACGGTTGATGATATACATGCTGCATTACCTTAAGGACCCTGAACTATTTATGGGAATTATGGTATATTCCTTATTATGGGGAAGTAGAAACTGCCATGGTTTCACACCGGAAGCTTCGCCAGCCGGACCCCGGTCACACAGGCGTGCGCGAAGGAACCCGCACCGAAGACGATGCGGAAGCGAACCTGGGAAGGCTAGGGTTCCTTGAAAGGGTTCCTTAAAGGGGTCCTTTCAAGGGATCTATCAGGGTACTATAATATCAGGGCCTTGATAAATCAGAATAGGGGTTTTGGGGCCCAGTATACGATAAATATAGTCAGGAACCCCCAAAGTAGACAAGGTAATTGTTAAGGTCCCTATAGCGTGTGTCTTTTCGGGTTGCGCCAAACGTTTCCAACAAGGGTTCTACAGTCTACTGTTTATTTAATGTAGGAACCTGATTAAGAAGCCCTGGCCCTATAACCCTAACATATTAGGATTCATATTAAGAACCCTACTAAAGGCCCAAGGTTTCTTAATCAGGTTCCTACATTACTATAGTACCCTTATGATTATAGATCCCTTACAGTAACCCTTATAGGTCCACCCCTAAACCCTAAGCCCTAAACCCTAAACCCTGTACTGTTTAGGGGCTTTGGGGTTTCAGGCTGTAGGATTTCGAGATTCGGGTTTCTAGCTTCGGGTTTGTGTTTGTCCGGCCTACGAAGCACCTTTAAAGGGTTCCTTAAAGGGGTTCCTTTAAAGGGATCTATAAGGGTACTATAGTATATTTAGAGGGTTCCTTAAACGGGTTCCTTTAAAGGGATCTATAAGGGTACTACAGTATAACGGCCTTAATAAATTAGTATAGCGTTCAGATTCTGCTACACTTCATTGAGCGGCAGACGGCCGTGTAAGTAAGCTGGCTTAGGGATTGGAGGCTCAGAGTTTTGCGGCTGGGCGGGTTCAGGGTATGCATTCCCAAGCCTACGTTGAGAACAATCCTTTGCCAGCTTATGGTGAAAACAGCACAGGCCTCGCAACCCCGAGCCTCCACCACAAATTCGACATGAAATGCCAGCCCTGCAACCCCCAACTCTGCAATACCCTACCCCAAAAAAAACGAAACCCTACCACTTCCACCCTAAACCGCAGGCCCTAAACCCTAAACTCCATGTCCTACGCTTTCCTCCTAAGAGCAGCGGCCGTGTTCCCCAGGAAGTGCATCGGGGGCCTCAAAAGGTAGGATGAAGGTAGGTGGGATATTCCCAAATAAGAGTCCTTTATATATGGCATCCTTAATCCCACCTACCTTCATCCCACCTTGTGATGCCTTCGAGTGCAAGAGGCCCAGGCCCAGGGCGACAGTATGGATGCAAGCAAGGCAACCTCGTAGCAGGGTCCAGGGTTCGCAGTCTAGGGCTTAGGGTTTAGGGGTTTAGGGTTAACGGCTTAGGGCTTATTATTAGGGCTTAGGGTTAAGGGTTTAGGGCTTACTTGGGTTTAGGGTTAAGGGTTTAGGGCTTATTTGGGTTTAGGGTTAAGGGTTTAGGGCTTATTAGGGTTTAGGGTGAAGGGTTTAGGGCTTAAAAGGGTTTAGGGTTTAGGGCTTATTGGGGTTTGGGGTTCGCCGTCTTGGGGCCTGATGAGTAGAGTGTCCTTGGAGTTCGGAACAGATGTTTGCAGAGTTTTTGTGGGGGCCTGCTGAATTGGAAGAAATCTTGGGGGGACTATAGACGCAGGAGGCTTCAAAAAGACTTGTACAACTGATTCTTGAGTCTTACATACGAGGTGATGCATGCTTGATTTTGAGACCCTAAACCCTCAGCCCTAAGCCTCTAAGAACAAAATAGGACACGAAACTTCCCGGAAGGATCCCCGAAATTTCCGGAACTCGCCGGACACGCTGAAGACACAAAGCCTAAGTTAAAGTTTCGGGTTTGGGGTTTAGCAAGGTTTAGGACTTAGGGTTTTGGGGCTAAAAGTAATAATAGGGTTGAAGGTTTATTGAGGGTTCAAAACTAGGGTTTAGGGTTTAGGGTTTAAGTTTAAGGTTTAGGGTTTAAGACAGCACCTAAGAAGCCACGCCTCTCCTGTCACAGAAGACTCTCTCTCTCTCTCTCTCTGTCGCTCTGTCTCTCTCTCTCTCTGTCTGTCTCTCTGTCTCCCTCTCTCCCTCTCTCCCTCGCTCCCTCTCTCCTCTCTCTCTCTCTCTCTCATCTCTCTCTCCCTCCCTCCCTCTCTCCCTCTCCCCTTCCTCCTCTCTCGCAGCTCTCTCCCTCTCTCTCTCTCTCTCTCCCTCTCTCTCCCTCTCTCCCTCTCTCTCTCCTCTCTCTCTCTCTCTCTCTCTCTCTCTCTCTCTCTCTCTCTCTCTCTCTCTCTCTCTCTCTCTCTCTCTCTCTCTCTCTCTCTCTCTCTCTCTCTCTCTCTGGTCCCTCCCTCCGTTTAAATAAATATCATTAGTACTATCATCACTATTTCTAGTACTATATCTACTCTTAACATCATCATCCCATCATCATCATCATCATGAAAGGGTGTATACGGCTGGCAGGCTGGAGAAACCGGTACCCAAACGGTCTAGGGATTTCTCCGAAGGGACCCCTACGTTGGGTTTAGGGTTTAGGGGAAACCCACATAAACCTTAGTTAAAGAACCCCGAAATCGCACCACTGGCTCTCTCAAGTCCCCCTATCACTCTGCTGCTGGGAGGCTCCTGGCAGCGTCAGAAACCAGAGGCTCAGCACCGAAGCAAAACGCCTTGGGTGGTCAAAAATTGGGGGCTCCAGAAACCTCGGTTCTGGGAAATTGGGTTTCTCATTTAGGATGTTGAGTTTTACAAGTTGGGCATCAGGACATTGAGTTTGGATTTTGCTTGCACGGTTTGAAACCAGAGCTCTAGCAGTGGCACTTCCGGATCTGGGCACAAGGTTTGGCACGGTGGTGCTTCGACTGGGGGGGGGCTTTATAGCATCGCGAAGGAGCGCAACGTCCCTTCGCACACCTCCTTCAGACAGATTCTGTAAGTAAGGGAAGGTCATCCTGAGACTCTCAGAAAGCCCCGCTTCCCAGAATTGCGGAACGGAACCTGTGCAGACTTACTGAACCTCAGAGATCCTTATATCCCTTAGTTAAGGAATATACCTTCATTTACTTATAGGGCCTTAACATTATGGTTTAAGGGTATCTTCCTTAATCAAGGGGATATGGGGGACTCTCTGGGACCCTGAACCCCGGGGCTCCGGGCTTGTAGAAGTGCCGCGGGCGCATCCGCGTCTCGTTGGACCAGGTCTGCAAGCACCTGGCGTTCGAGGTGTCCGGTGAAATTTGCGGCGGCGTGGTTTGAAGATTTTGGGTTTAGGGTTTAGGGTTTAGGGTTTAGGGTAACCCGAAACCCTAAACCCTAAACTCTAAACCGAGGTCTCGAGTACGATGACGTAGAGCTTGGCACCCCGGAAACCTTCGGGGGTTTACTTTCAGACGGAAGTCTTTTGCGCATAACTGTGCTCTCCTCCTGTGCCACGGCTCCGGCTTCGAATTTAGGATCAAAATGTTATATAAACTTAGGGTTTGGGGTTTAGAGTCTAGGATTTAGGGTTTAGGGGTGTCGGGCGTGGGGGTGTGCCTTAGATGAAGCGAAGACTCCAAAAGTTAGCTCAAAGGCCCTCAACACTTAACTTAGGCCCCGAACCCCGAGCTGCCCTAAATCCTCATCCCCTCAACCCTAAACTCCTTGATTCCTAGACTCTGGACCTTCATCCGCTAACCCGAAGTTCGAATCTTTTGAAAGGGGAAGGCCCCTCCCCGCCTCGAGACGTAGGCCTTGGGAACAACTCTTCCGAGCCGTTGTTCGTGGCTTCAATGAAGGGGTTCATGAACTTAGGGGTCTCTTGCTGTGGTTTTTAGGTTTGGGGATGGTATATTCGGGAGCCTGTCAGCACCCATCTACATCAAGGTCCCTGACAGTCAAAGACTCTCAGCCAGGGTTGAAAAGCCCTGAAGTACACCATGCATCAGCATCAGGTCCAGCGCTTCTCGGAAGATCATGGGACTTAGTAAGTATGGTTATAAGTACCTTAATGGGGGTTATAAGTAATTATACGTATAGTTTCCCTAATAGTAACTTTAGTTTCGAAGTCCCATGATCCTTTAAGTAAGGTTCCTAAACCCTAAACCCCTAAAACCTCAACCCAAAACCCTCAACCCTAAATCAGGGGTTACACTAGCCATCCTGGCTCGCGCTCGGTGTTTTCAAGATGAAAGGGTGCTGGCTCATGGTTTTGTTTGGCAACGATCACACAACATGCTCCTTGTCATGCCTTGGTTCAGTGATGTGTCGAAAGTGGCTCGTTCGACGGTGCTCGCTCGAATCATTCTCGCTCGGCTTGGGCAAGGGTCGCGAGGTTGGGCTGGAGCCGCGTCCATGCGTGCGATGGTCGACAGCGAATAATTTCGAGCGAGCACGCTCGAGCCAGCACGCACGGCACTTTCGGCATTAAGTGGCGCCAGGCTCTTCGTATCCAATCTTGTTGGTTTAGTGGCTGGTGGTCCCTGTCTACAGGATTTGGGTGCTTGCTCGCGCTTGGGCTGCGTCAAGGGTGGTACACCCTTGCCGAGAAATCTGAGTCCGGTAGCACGGTTCGGTGTCTGAGAGCACGCACGGGTTGAGCCAGGAGGGTCGCCCGAGCGAGCACGCTCGGGTCCAATTCCGGTTGGACAGCACGATCGTATCGAGCGAGCACGTTCGGGGCCCATCATCGCCTGCCGCAATCGAGCGAGCACGCTGTAATCTTTAAAGAACGCTGCCTGAGCGAGCATTGCTTCCGTAAGCCTTGACTAAACCCTCAACCCTCAACCCTAAACCCTAAACCTTTTTGCGGCGCATGAAACCCTCGCAGAGCCGGTTGCATCGTGTGCGATCTCTTACTCCAAAACTCCAAAACTGAAAAACGAAAACCTGAACCTGCTCCTGAAGCCAAAAACCCAGAGACTCCAATATCCCTTCATCAAGGAATACACCTTAAATCATAGTAGGATCCCTAATAATAAGATTTAAGGCATATTCCTAAATTAGGGGATATTGGAGTCTCTGGGAAAGTAACTAAGACCAAAGGCAAATATAGCCAGAACCACACCTGGCTCTTTCCTTTGCCAAGCGGCCCACATCCAACCCCACCCAATACCTTACACCCTGAACCCTGAACTGACCCTAAACTGTAAACCTAAACTCTACTTGGAGGTTCGGGGGTAGTTATAAGCAGGGTTATCAGTCCCCTAATATGGGTTCTAAGTATAGTTCCCCTACTTATAACTACCAATGAACCTCCAAGTAGACTCTGAGAGCAAAAACGCTGCCTCCACCCCTTAGCTTCGGGCATAGAGCCACATCATTTCAATGGCAATGAGTGCCACGCCAGGCCTTCATCGTCGATGCATTTGGGCTTTGTGCTTCTCTAGGGCGTTTAGGGTTTACGGTCTAAGATATGCTTTCAGTTTGGGGATTAGGATTTTAAGTCATGTCCCGGCCCTTTTGTGAAGAGAAGAACCTGTGTAGAGACTTGAGACACCTCAGAGGGCTTTGAGGCCTCTCCAAGGCCCCTGGAAGGCTCTTTACTTTCTGTGGTCTACCACACGGTTGAGGGTTTTTTGTTATTGGGGTTCTGGGCTTCAGGTTTAGGGTAATAGTTAAGAAGTTAAGAACCTTAGATAGTGAAGGCACGGTTGTATGTGAGGTTAGGGGGGGAGTAAAAGAGTGAAGAGTTCCCGGCTTCAGGTCTGTATCCACCTCGCTGCACGTGTGCTTTGCTCTGCATTTCGTCGTGCCCCTGAGAAAAATCCTGTGCCAAGGCCGTAGAGTTTACTAGGATGCCCAGTAACCTAGGAATAATAAGGGCTCCCTTTTTGGTATTGGATACCTTTTTAAGGAGTCTAGGACTACAAGAAGGGTATAAGGGTACTGTTGGGCATCCTAGTTCAGGGTTTTAGGGGCTGTGGGGTTTAGAGTTGCCCAAGCCCCCACAATCCCCAAGCGCTCAAGAGCCGGGAGCCGTGCCGGGTGTCGTACATGTACTCGATCCTCGTCGTTTGGGGGTTTAGGGTTTTGGGTACTTTGCAGGGTCTAGGGCTTTAGGGTTTTAGGGCTTGGGGTTTAGGGTTTAGGGTTTTAGGGTTTAAGCTTTGTTTAAGGGTTTAGGGTTTTAGGGTTTAGGATTTTAGGGCTTAGGGTTTAGGGCTTATAGTTGCGACATGAGGGCTGGAGTGTTTCTGTGTGATTGGGGTCTGTAGGATAGAGATGACAAGAATGCTGCCTTGACGACTCGGGGTTCCGTTCCCATCTCCTCCTCCATGTGGGGGTTTCCCAAAAAACCCTACTATAGATAGCAGCATTCTGATTATAAGGACCCCAAAATACGGTACCCGGTACCCCCAATTTTCGGAAACTCCCATGTAAGAAAATCTCAACCAATGTGAGGGTGTCGGCCTTGTCTTATCGAAGACCGAAGACCTGGGTTCAAAACGTCCGAAAACCACGTTTAGGATTTAGGGTGTTGGGGTTAACTCTGGGGTCCTGCAAGGGTTTGATGGGGTCTCACAAGCGCCTTGTTGCAGCTCGTCTTGTAAGGTGCTTAAGAGGTTCTTCAGTTCATGACGCTTTTAGGTTTTCGGCAGGTAGCACCAACAAATCTATGAAAAGCCGATCAAGACCGCATGGACCACAAGTCCTGTTTCCAGAAGGGTGGAAACCTCCGCTAAGGAAACCCCGAAACACCCAAACCCAAAAAGCCCCACCCTACAACCATATGCCTAAGATGAAGCCTTGAAGGAACCCTTAAAAAAAAAAAAAACTCAAAGGAATCCCTAAAGGAACCCTGCAAGGTACCCTTAAAGATACCCAAAAGGCACCTCGGGCCCGGGCGGGCTACCGCTCGCCTCCCGGTCCCCCCAGAGCTCCAACCAAAGGCCTCCACTGTGTTATTTAAGGTTATTTAAGGTTTAGGGTTTAGGGCTTAGAGTTCAGGGTTTAGGGCGTAGGGGGAAGCCATATGACTTACTGTAGATCCCCAGTATGGTAACTTAGACAAAATCCCAGAGGGTACAAGTATTCCCTATTATCGGACAACAGGGCCTTATTAGGCACCAAAAACCATTAATAGGGACTACTTGGACCCTTAGGGAATCCCTTACCAAGAACCCCTAAACCCTAAACCCTAAACCCTAAACCGGTTTAGGGTTTTAGGGTTTAGGGTTCCCAGCCGGTGAGGAGCACGAGACTCGGAGCTCGGGCTGTTCTGAGGGTTTTGGAAGGGCTTTGGGGTTTTAGGGTTTTGGGGTTTTGGGGGTTTGGGGTTTTAGGGTTTTGGGGTTTTGGGGCTTTGGGGTTTTAGGGTTTTGGGGTTTTGGGGCTTTGGGGTTTTAGGGCTTTAGGGGTTTTAGGGCTTTAGGGGTTTTAGGGCTTTGAGGGTTTTGGGGGTTTGGGGTTTTAGGGTTTTGGGGTTTTAGGGTTTTGGGGGTTTGTGGGTTTTTGGAGGTTTGGGGTTCTAGGGTTTTGGGGTTTTAGGGTTTTGGGAGTTTGGGGGTTTTTGGGGCTTTGGGGTTTTAGGGTTTTGGGTTTTAGGGTCTTGGGGTTTTGGGGTTTTAGGGTTTTGGGGTTTTAGGATTATTGGGCAACTCTATCTCTAGCCGCAGGTAAGGTATCTATGATCATAATCACTAAGTCCCATGATCTTCCAAGGACCCAATGAGTAGTGCGGTTTTTTTCTGATGTCGGTATTAACGTCTAGGGCTCAGGGGTTACAGGGTTCAGGGTTCAGGGTTTAGGGTTGCAGGGCTTTTGGGGTTTATGGTTTGGGGTTCTATGGTTTAGGGCCCAAAAAATTTCAGGCTTCGCGGGCCTCGGAAAATAGTTGGTTCGGGATGTCGGACCCCCTGGGCTCCGGCAAAAGCAAGCAAGGCAATAGCGGTAATCATGATTCAGCGGTTTCGGCCCTACTTGGAGGATCATGGGACTTAGTATGTGTGGTTATAAGTACCTTATTTGGGGTTATAAGTATAGTTACCCTAATCATAACCTTAGTTACTAAGTCCCATGATCCTTCAAGTGGTTTAGGGTTAAGGGCTTGGGGTTAGGGTTTAAGACGATCAAGGGCTCGAGGGCTTAAGGCTTAGAGTTTAGGGCCCAGGGTCGAAACACTGAACCCTGATCCGACACTTTCATATGGGAGTTTCCGAAAATTAGGGCTACGTTTAAAGGGATCCCTTAAGGGTTCCTTGAAGGGGTCTATAAGGGTGCTACAAAGGGTTTAGGGCTTAGGGTTTGGGAGTTTCCGAAAATTAGGGCTACATTATTTTGGGGTCCTCATTGTAAGGATCCTACTACTTAGGGTACTATATTGGGGTCCCCTGTTTTCGGAAACGCCCATATGAACCCAAGTCTAAAGCCAAAACCCCAAGCCGCAAACCGTTTCGTTTGGGGTTTACTTGGAGGTTCAGGGGTAGTTATAAGTAGGGTTATAAGTCCCCTAGTATGGGTTTTTAGGTATAGTTACCCTAGTTATAATCCCACTTATAGCTACCCCTGAACATCCAAGTAGGGTTCAGGGTTCCCCCAAGCCCTGCGCTGCGCCTAAACAGGCAAACACCGCCATGCCACCGACCATCTCCCGACGTCGAGACTGGGGCTTCAGGGGTTCAGGAGGGCATCTGGGGAGCGATGGCACTTGCGGGCGTAGGCTGCAAAGTTGGGTTGTAAGAAATTTTATGGGGGGGAAAGGTGGGGTATATTCGATAAGGTTCGACGCACCTCGCTTCAAGTCCATGTTAGTTCACAGGCTCCGCATAAGACCATCAGAACCTGTCGGTTCATGCTGAAGGATATGCGGGTCTGACTAGCTGCCTTATAGCCCCTGTATACCCATAGCAGAATAGGGAAGAGGCCTGGATAATAAGAATAGGGTCTCGCGGTACATGAAACTATACTTGGAGGTTCAGGGGTAGTTATAAGTAGGGTCATAAGTAGGGTAACTATACTTATAACCCATATTAGGGGACTTATACCCCTACTGATAACTACCCCTGAACCTCCAAGTACCCAAAGTAAGGAACCCTAATGAACAGTAACGCCCAAAACTTCTTTGGCATCGTGGACGAGAATCCAGGTTTCAGTGCTCGAGAACGGCTAACTTACCGCTTCCATGGCTGTTCTGAATCTCTTAGGTTTTGGCTGGAGATTATGGGGTTGAGAGTTCAGGGCAGCGGATTTCGGGGCTTCGATGTAGGAGTTGGGGCCCCTAAACCCTAAACCCTCTTTGGGATAGGTCCTAAACTTCTTTTTTTTTTTAAGTGCAGTGGCGTGTCTTTCTGTAAGCGTCCTAAACTTCAGGGCTCAGGGTTTACGAGTTCGGCTTTAGGGTCCCGCGGATTTTTTCTCTTCCGGCTCGCCCGCTCCAGAGTGTCCCTCGGGAAGTCGGGGTGCACAGACAGCAGAGATATTATTGCCAGAATGAGAATGTTAGGATTATAGGCGAATCGCATGATTCCATAAATACTATACTATATTGCAGTATTTTAGATTAGAGGAAAAGTATAGCACAATATTACATATATATATATATACATCTATTCATCTGTTTTGTATTACTCAATGAAAAACCCACAAGCCCTGCAGCTGAGTGCCAGTCCCAGGAAATTCCAGGGGTGCAGACGCAATCCTGGGAAGGGCTGGTGAAAGGCTTGGGGTGTAGGCAGTCGGCTTCAGTGTTTTGGGACTCTACGAGGTTCGGATTAGGGTTTAAGGTTTTGGGTTAAGGGTTTAGGGTTTAGAGTTTAGGGTTTAAGGTTTAGGGTTTAATTAGGGTTTAGGGTTTAGAGTTTAGATTTAGGGTTTAGGGATTAGTGCAAAGTGTTCGCAAGACCTTTTCCTTTCTTCGAGGGCTCTGGCTTGGCTGCAATCTGCCAATCTGCCCCGCACGCCGTTCTGGACGTTGCATAAGTTTTTGAACGCGTGGGTGCATAACGCAGGCGTTTTCTGTTCACGCGTGCATGAGTGTCCTTCGTACTGGCATTGTGCAGTATCACATGCTTGGGTTGATGCTTGAGTTGTCGCCGAAAACTTTACACCGATCTGCAGCTATACCTACGGGTGTCCACACACATACATGCCTGAAAAACAGAACGCCGCTGAGTACGCTAGACCCTCGAGCCCCAGCAATAAATCTGCACTGGGAACCGTTGCTTTATGACCAACCTACCTTTGGTTAGTAGGGAATGGAGGAATGGGGTACAATTATTATAACTACTATTACTACCATTCTTCAATTTCCTTATAACCAAAGGTAAGCCAAGTCTCCCCCTGCGCCAGGAGCATCAGCAGGACTTGCAGCAGAGTCTTCCCCGCGATGATGCCTCGAAGAGCGTTCAGGTTCAGGGACGGCAACCCCCAATCGAAGCAGCTGTCTGGGTATTCCGAAGAAAGGGTTCTATGAAATGCCACAACAAGCACCTGCTAAACCCCCAGCTCTGGACAATTTGTTATAGTACAAAATGGGAGTTTCCGAAAATTAGGGGTACCTTATTTGGGGGTCCTTTTAATAGGGTACTAGTGAGGGTCCCCGATTTTCGGAAACTCCCAAGTCGTATCTGGATACATTCCTGGCCGCAAGAAGGTACGTTGAAGCAGCAATGCGAATTTGCGACCAGTGACCTCTAATGTAGGGGCCTTATGAATAATTGGAAGAGGGTTTTGGGGCCCATTCTACTATCATCATAATAAGGAACCTTCAAAATAGTATAGTATATATATATAGGTAATTCTTGAGGTCCCTATATTAGCCGAAAGAAACGTTGGAAAACACTGCAGAAGCTGTAAAGAACTCCACAAGATCGACACTGCGACCCGCGAGGCGGCGGCAGGAGCGTGCCACGAAGGCAAGCGTCTCTGGCACCTCTCCTGCACATAGTTTAGGGTTTAGGGTTTGGGGTTTAGGGTTTAGGGTTTGGGGTTTAGGGTTTAGGGTTTGGGGTTTAGGGTTTAGGGTTTGGGGTTTAGGGTTTAGGGTTTGGGGTTTAGGGTTTAGGGTTTAAGGTTTCGGGTTGGTTTAAGCAGCTGTCCGTTGCTTAAGGTGCGTGCAGTGCATTCCTGCATTGAGTGGTATTGGGCTCCCTGCTTACTGGTTCTGTAGGGTTTGGGGTTATGCCTTGGGTTTGTGCGGTGTGCTCTCGAGGGAGGGGGGGGTTCTAAACTGCATGTACAAGGTTTCTGGGCTTTAGGACTACAGGTTTAGAATGCTCCGGGTTTAGGGTTTAGGGTTTAGGGTTTAGGGTTTAGGGGCCATGGTTCGAGATGTGGAGTACTTGCAACTGTCTGCTCACCTGCTTGATATCAATGCTATATATTCGGGGCCTTAATGATCAGAGCATGTCGACCCTGAACCCTCAAACCCTAAACCCTTTAATTGTTGTCTGTCCCTAGGGGTTTCCCCTCAGCTTCTTCTTGCTCAGGACTCGCAGGTTGGAATTCGAACCTCGATTTGGAACTTGGGGGTGGGGGGGGGTATTAACGACATGGTGATGGCTGTTCAAGGATGCATGCAAGTCCTGAAACTTGTTCGCTTAACTCAACAGCCCTCAATGACCATCAACGTCCAAATCCCAAACCCCGCCAAACTGTAGTTGTCCTGAGCCGCGATACTCCCGGAAGAATTCCAGCCATGCCTTGGGCGAGATGGGCACCGTCAAAGACTTGTGGGTCTTGAGATTTGGGACGTCCTCTTCTCCCCTGTTGCTTCGATTGCCACTTAAGGGGTTGAAGTTCAACGCCATTTCACAACCTTTTCTGAGCCTTGGAGATGGAGCACGTGAAGTTAGGTTTGGGGTCGTCATTTAGATTCTTGAGACATATGTTTGGCATTTCTTGCACCACAGCCTACATCATTAGGATCCAGGAATTAGGGCTTAGGCTTGGGGCTTAGGGTGTGCACTTGAATCTTGGGGTTTAATTGAATCTTGGGGTTTAATTGAATCTTGGGGTTTAAGCCTTTTAGCTCTGAGTTTAAGTTTAAAGCAAAAAACGGGGTCAAAGGTGAAATCGTCGGATATCCGGAACCCCCCGCAGCCTCAGATCTGCACCTATAACCCCAAGCCCCTAAACCCTAAACCCCTAAACCCGTAAACCCCTAAACCCCCTAAACCCAAATACAGCGGCATGACAAAGTATAACTATATTAAGGCACTATCCGGAATAGCGTTGGCCATGCAGGCCCCCCATATCAGACTCTATCCCCCATTTTCAAAACCCGCTTTTGGATCCGGCCAAGCTGCAAGGTGCCCGAAGGTGCAAAAGAGTGCAGCCGCCTCTGCCAAAGCTTTGAGTTCGCTTCAACTCATGTAATGTAGGCTGTGGACCCAAGACGCATACGCCCCTCTTTAAAGGTCTTGATATTCAGATCCCCTTTGTAGACCCAAGATTAATTAATAAACCCACACTCTTCAAGGGTATTGATAGTCCCTAAGTTTCCTTTGGTTTACTGAAAACAAATATTATAAAGATCCCTGGATTAAACACGAAGAGCAGAATTATTTCAGAACAATGCCATGTGATTCCTAGCGAAAGCTGAAAAGAAGCCCCAGAAAAAAGGATTGACTCTAAAAGGCACCCAAATTGTAGCATCCTGGTTAACTGTGTAAATGGCCCCTCCCAGGAAAACCCTTTTTGAAACTCCACCTCGGCACACAAACATGGCAACACGACCAGCCTGCAGAATGCGTGCACCACTGGGAGCTCCGTTGCGCTCCGACCATTCGAGAACAGACCTGAAAGCAGCGGGGCGAAGGCATAGGGTTTAGGGTTTAGGGTTTAGGGTTTTGGGTTTAGGGTTTGGGGTTTAGGGTTTAGGGATTAGGGATTAGGAATTAGGGTTTAGGGTATAGGGTTTACGGGCGATGGGCCGGACCTCGCAATGGGACGCTTCCTCTCGACTACTGACCACTGGACCTGCAATTCCAGGGCGATGAGCTGAGACTTCAGATAGATTACAAATCTTGGGCCAAGGCGGCGGCACTACAAGGGTGTGACGTTCTACAGCTGACACCGAAACCCCTAACACTAAACCGCCGCAGCACCCCGAAAGGAGGTTGGCTATTCGAAAAGATGGTCCTCTCAAGCGCGAACAATGCAAGATCTTCGTGGCACGCTAACCCTAATATACGGGCCTTGATCATTACCTATACTATTGTGGGATATAGTACAATGGGCCCCAAAACCCTATGCAAATTACTGAGGCCTTCTATTAGACCCTTGACCTTGGAAAAACCCAAGGTGCAAGTAACGAAGGCTGAGAGCATCACTTGGTGTGTAGCACAGCCAAGGCAGCAAAGCCTTGGGGTTTAGGAGCTTAGGGTATACCTATAGTCTCCATTAAAGTTCCTTTTTTGGTTAACCAAATCTCTATTACAGGATCCTAACCATAAAACTGGTTAACCAAGAAAAGGAACTACAATGGAGACGACAGGTACAAGGTTGAGGGTTTAGGGTTTTGGGCTTGGGGTTTAGGCCTTAGGGCTTTGGGCTTAGGGCTTCCTCTAGTGATCGTGCCGAGCATCACTTGATCCGCAGCTCCCAATGCAAATCGTATGAGCAACACTGGGAACGTGCATGGAGCTTGGGGATTTGGAATGCTTATCTGTCCTTTCCCTTATAGAAACTGGCTTTTCGCCCAACGCAGAGGCTTCTGTGGTTGTATGTCCTCCTTGCGGAGTATAGGGGCCTTAGTTATCAGTCGTGGGCTGGAGTATACCATAGTAAAACTATTGAAGGGTGTTAAGGGTGATACCATTCCCTACTATGAAAACTCTATACTGACAGTTTCGAAACCCTTAAACTCTAGGCTCCTATGCTCTGGTCCAGACAACAGTCGAAGTGTTGGGTCTATGAAGGGACTCGCAGATTGCGGGGTGCGCATGGATTCGGTCTTCCAGTTTCTGATAAGGGGTAGGACAGTTTCGGATCAGGCATGGGCCAGTTTAGGTTCCCGGGGTCGGCCAGTTTCGGATCACGTGTCGTGCAGTTTCGACCACGTCTCGGCCGGTTTCGGATCGACTGTGCCAACTTGATTATGGGCAGCTAGCCAGGCTCTCGCGCCTCCTGGCAGCCGGAGCCGGCACAGCTGCCAAGCTGCCCAATCGCTCGGCACGAGGCATCTTTCATCGCCGACAATCGCGCTGCAACTCTCCTCATCCGCTTCAGCTGCCGCGAGACGTCGTGCCGTGACGAGCTGCTTGCCGAACACTCTCACGAGCACTAGCAGCGTCAGTATCCCGGGACGCGGTGAAGAAGCTTGCGACAGACTATTACTATTATTATACTATTATCAGTATTGTTACTATTATTACTATTATTACTATTCTTAGTATTGTTACTATTATTACTATTATTTCTATTATTACTATTATTACTATTGTTACTATTATTACTATTATTACTATTACTACTATTATTAGTATTATTACTATTATTACTATTATCACTGTTATTACTCTTATTACTACTATTACTATTCTTACTATTATTAGTATTATTACTATTATTACTATTATCTGGGAGTAAAAAGATCTGCTCCAAACCCCTGAGCTGCTGGAAGGGCCGCTCCGACGAGTAGACCACGTCGGACCGAACATCCAAGGCCCACACTCTACAAATGAGCAGGGTTGTTTGGTTTAGGGTTTAGGGGTTTAGGGTTTAGGGTTTAGGGGTTTAGGGGTTTAGGGGTTTAGGGGTTTAGGGGTTTAGAGGTTTAGGGTTTAGGGTTTAGGGTTTCGGGTTTGACACATGCAACAGCTGTCCAAGCCTTCAAGCAGATCCTGCAAACCCCCCGCCCAAGCCAAAGTACCGTGGAACCCCATCTATACAAAGCTTGTCCAGAAACTCGTTCCATGTTCTTGAACCCCAAGGCGAAAACGGCGGCAGCATAGCTGCCTGTCCTCAATCACAAGCTTCAGACCTGTGTAGGTCCCTGAACCTGAAACCGACATAAGCATTCGGGTTTCGAAATTCTCCTGCCTCCTGCCATAACTTTGCCACGGCGGAATGGGGTTAAGGCAAGCATACTCAGGAGCATATGGTCTCGGGTTGGTGCCCAAGCAGCTGCACCATGGAGAAAAAAAACGAGACACTGACCCAAACACGCTCATCCGAGAGGCCAAAGAAGGCGAAGAAGCACACTGGCACGATGCCTTTTCGAACAAGACTATGATGACGACGACGACGACGATGACGACGGTCTTGATGATGACGATGCTGATGATGGCGATGTTTGTGTTTCTGATGATGTTGATGATGATGATGACGAAGATGATGGAGATGATAATGAAGGTGATGAGGGTGATGAGGGTGATGAAAGTGATAAGAGCGATGAGGGTAATGAGGGTGATGCGGGTGATGATGACGATGATGATGATGATGACGATGAGGAGGAGGATGAGGATGAGGATGCACGAACATGTCCACCACAGCCGGCAGAGGTTGTTCGTGCATGCGTATGTGCGTGTGTAACGCACCCGCAACCGTAAATTGACTCTGCACTGGAACTCGGCAAGCCATCTGCCCCCGTGTTCAACATATTAGTACTACGGCTGATGATATAAATCCTGCATTACCCATAATAAGGAATGTACCATAATTCCAATAGTTTCGGGCCATTAAGGTAATGCAGGATTTATATCATCAACCGAACCCTAAACCCTAAACCTTAAACCCTATAGCTCGCAACCCGACCAGCAGCACCGAGCACCGTCGCCCTGCCTATCTCATCCATGGACAACTGCGCGTTGTCCCCTTGAAGAGGATTTTGCATTTGAAAGCTGTAGCCTTGGCTCAAGCCCAACCTAAAACGTAAGTGCTTAGGTTCAGGGCCTAGGGCCTTAGGGCTTCTATAGGCTTATACAAACCCTCTATGCTACATGGTGCATGAATGTAATCGTGTCTGATCTGCTGCATGCCAGACGCGAGGTTGCAGCTGCTCGGGATGTGAGGGCTGCCCTGAGCTAAGGGGCAAAGTCTCTATTGAGGGTCCACATTACCATGGACTCCTAGAGTCCTACACCTGAAGCCGCGAAGCCCTGAAAATACGAAGCGGAACTCGACGTCTAAGCCGTAACTCGGAAACTGCCAAAACCCTAAAAGCCTTGAAGTGCTGATTCCTAAACCCTAAACCCTAAATCCTAAACCCTGAACCCTAAACCTTAAACCCTGAACCCCCGAAAACCTAACGCCCTAAACCCTGAAACCCAAAATCTCCGAGGGCTCGAAACTGAAACCTGGCCCCTAAAACTCTAAAGCCCAGAATCTACGGGTTAGGTAGGGTTTAGGGTTTTAGGGTTTTGGCTCAGGGTTTAATTTAAGGTTTGGGGCATTTAAATTTAGTGTATAGGGATTTGGTTTCGGGTCTAAAACTCTGAAGCACAGAATCCTGAAACAGTTTGACCCAAAGACGTAAAGCCAAAACCCCGAGACCCTAAACCCCTGAATGAGGTTCCAATGTATATAGCGTATATATATATATATATAATACTTATACCACTTATGTCTCGATATAGAGTGTATAGAGAGAAAGAAAGAAAGAAAGACAGACAGACAGAAAGAGAGAATGAGAGAAGTAGAGAAAGAAAGCAAGAGACAAAGGGGGAGAGAGAGAGAGAGAGAGAGAGCCTGAACCCTGAAGCACTGTTCCTGGTTCAGTCCAGTGTCCCATTTCTAGGCTGTGGCTGGAGCACGAGACGAGGGCAACGAACCACCACCGGGGTCGCAGTTTTTCCTGGATTTCGGATAGGGTTATTAAGGGCCTACGGGTAGTGTCTAGGGTAGGCTCTATGGATTAGGGCTCAGGGTCTAGGCTCCAGGACCAGATCTAAGGTGCTCTTGAAGTAAGAGTTATAGGGGTCTCTTACCAGAAAGGTGTTTAATTGCTTTACAAGGGCCTTGGGCCAACTAAAACGGCTTTACGGCGGTTTGATGTAGACCCTGTTTGATGACCTGTGCTCTTAAGGGCCTTAACATCCTCACAACCATAGTAGAACAAGCCACTCAGTCTACCGTAAACCCTCAACTCAAATCACACAATTTGTCCTGGGGACCCCTCAACCCTGGACCCTGTGTCATTCCTGAGTCCCCAGCACTCACCCCCCTGGCCCACCCTAACATTACTGTCCTTGCAGAACACAGATCCTAAACCCCAAACCCTGATGCACCCTAAACCCAATAAACCCAAGAAGCCCTAAAACACCCTAAGCCCTAAAACCCACTCAACCCTGAACCCTGTCCCCGCCCGCCCCTCCGACGCCACCAGGAATCCACCACGGCGGTGTCCAACGACAGGCCCTCCTCCGAGGCGATACGGTGCCAGTCGAGCGGGTAGGCCTCCGGAACAAGAGGCTTTAGGGCGGAGGTTTCAGGTTTTAGGGTTCAGGTGTTGTTTAGGGCTTAGGCTTCAGGTTTTAGGGTTTAGGTGTTAGGGTATGTTGGTGTTTGGGGTTTAGGGCTTAGAGCTCACTATTTAGCATTAACTTTGGCTTCGGGGTATAGGCTTTTGTGAGATCGTAGGGAACATGCAGGACTGCGTATCCACAAATATACCCCGAAACCCTATTCTAATAAAGCTCCTTTCTTTCCATCACCATGAAAAGGATCATAACGTTTCATTCAGTTCACAAACGGCAAGAATACAGCGCACGAAAGAAAGGGCAAGTAAGGGGAAGGAGCCCTCGACCGTCGACCTTTGACCTGGCCTACTTGGAGGTTCATGGATAGTTATATATAAGTAGGGATATAAGTAGGGTAACTATACTTATAATTTTTTAGGGGGCTTATAACCCTACTTATAACTACCCCTGAACCTCCAAGTAAGATATTGAATTTTCCAGGAATCCTTATCACCGGGTATTGGGGGGTTGAGGGTTCGGAGCTTTGTGTGGAGCCCTAGGGTTATAGGTCTACATTACAAGTATTGTTATTCAACTGTTAGTTACTGCGTAGAGGCAATATCCAGTGCCTCATTGAAGCTCCTGGGCTTTGGATTTGGGTAGTTCTCAAAAGAACCCCCCCAGGGTCCTTTTTGTAAGGGCGCCGTGCGATTTCCTTCAAACTGACCCTGCGGAAAGTCGAAATGCTGCGGCAGCAGGGCCTCCGTGTATTAAAGCCCCAGTAATAGTAGTACTCCGGCGGACAGCCCAAAAATTCCACAACTGTGCCGAAGACTGACTACAGCAGCAGAAGGTATCACCGGTGCTGGGTTCTTGATACTCCGAACAGTAAACCCGAAACATCTGAATCCTAAACTCCAAGAACCTAAGCCTTGTAACCTAACCCCACATCCTAAATAGCATACCGCAGGCACTGACCCCTAAGCCCGGCGTATGCGCACGAGCTGCAACATGTTGCATGCCCTGCAAATGCCCCGTTGAACACCAGGGGCTTTAGGGGTTTAGGGTTTAGGAGCTGGTGCCGGTGGAGCTTGCGCGGACTGACGGGGCAGCAGCAGCAGCAGAAATCTCGGAACGTCTCTGGAATCTCCGGCTCCCTGAAGCTATCCGTGATGAACTTGTGCCTTTTGACATTTGTCGAAGAATCAAGTCGTCCTATCTCTCGAAAAATCTGAGATGCTGGGCGGGGATCATCCCACTTGGCTCTCGTAATCCTTCGCGCCCACGGCGACGTACGTCGGCGGTAGACCGCGAGAAAAGTCAAAGGGTTCGCCCCATATCCAGGAGGGCCCGGCAGTGAACTTCAAAGAGGAATCAAGTCTCATCGAAAACTTGAGTATGTTGGCACTGTGACTCCTCACTTCCGCCAACAGGCCGAAAACCGCCATTGTAACAACCACAAAGCCCGAAACCTTGATAAAGTACTCTTCAAGGAACCCTTAAAAGAACCCAACCCCTATAGAACCCTTAAAGGAGCCCATATAGTACCCTTGCAGGAACCCTGAAGAAACCCTCAAGGGGAAACCCCATTCTCCGCCCGAAAATCGTTCGGCACCCTTATAGAAAGAACGACCCCTATTTAGAGAACTACGTGGAGGTTCATGATTAGTCATAACTGAGTTTGTAAGGTGGAAAACTACAGGTATAACGTTATATATAACCTAGGGGACTTATAACTTTACAACCCCACTTATTCCGAGTACCCAGGTGCAGAAAGGAGCCGCCGCCTTCTTGGCCGCCCGAGTCACGTCTGTGCAGTTCGCCTTGCTTCCACGGTTCAGGGGTTTAGGGTCCTTTGGGGTTCAGGAACTTCGGGTTTAGGGTTTAGGGTAGCTGCCCTAAACTCAAAAAAACCCTATAAACCCAAACCCAAGGGTTCAGGGTAGCTTGAACCTGCGGCTGCCTGACAGACACCAGGGCTTGCACTCGCTTAGGGGGGTTAGGGTTTCGGGGTTCAGGGTATAGGGGGCTTAGGCTTTAGGGGTTTAGGGTTTACTGTTCAAGTTCTGGGGGCTTAGGGTTTAGGGTTTCGGGTTTATGCTTTAGGGTTTCGGGTTCAGAGTGTGCGGAATTCGGTTTAGGATGGTTTAGGGTTTAAAGGTATTCTTGATATCCTAACTACCAACAAGAGCCACTATTGTCATGGGAAGCGGATTTCCACTCATGCTCTCAAGAAGGAGCGGTGCACCACAAAAAAGGCGCCAAAATAGAACAGCTCCTCCAAAAAACTCCAGACTAGAGATCCGAAACGATGCTAATCGAGGGCTCGGAATAATTAGGATAAATGATCCTTCATCCTCCATGTATAATTGCATACTGGATAATTGAGGGGTTCGGAGTTCGGAACGATTAGCATAAATGTTCCTTCATCCTCCCTGTCTGTATTTTTGAATACTGGAAGTGTAGCCTATCGCAACAAACCTACTCTACATACTCAGACCCGTATGCTGTCGCCGGAAAGTCAGAACTACTCACCTTGAACATGTAGCCATCTCTGGCCAAGGTCGTTCGCCAGCACTGAACTCAAAGTAATTAGTGCTTTCAAGCGCCGACGTAGGATTTGGCCAAAAGAACAGTGTTAGAGGAAGTGGGACCGCCGCCGAGCGGGTCACTGCCATCGAAGGGATACTACGAACAATCGAAAAACACCAGCGACATGCCTGCTTATGAGTCTGGGTGAGGAACACCAGGACTGATTACACTGAGAAAATTGATGGGATTGGTGCCATTTAGCAGCAACAAATGCAACGACAGATCTTTTCAAAACTATCATGTAATAAGAGCTGCAACCAAACCCCAACAACCTGGAACCCGAAGCCCTAAACCCGCTACCTTAAGTCGCGATTAACAGCTGACGAGTGCTGCCAAGCTCAGCGCCTCTCCCCAGACCTGCGAGACCTCCGGGAAGGAGAAATACCTGAGCCGCAACAAGCCACAACAATAGGACAGCAGCCTTAAAGAAAGAACCCCCAAAAGGGACCCCAATCTAGAGAACTACCCATTTCGGGGTTTAGGGTTCTAGTCTTCCGGTTGATCGGATCGGGTTTATTTCCGCTTCAGGTTTGGGGCCAAGGGCTTAGGGCTTAGGGTTTTGGCATTGTGGTTCAGACATGTAAACGCAAGTTGATCACGATTTGGATCATTTGGCAACGAACTGATCAGAATTTTCGAATATTCAGGCGAAGCGAAATCTCATTGGGCCTGTTGCATGCGGCACTCCAGGCAGACCCGATTTAGGTTGCTTTTCTACTGGTTATAAAATTGGGGGGTATATGGATTCAGCTTCGCTCCGGAATCAGAGTGGAAATTCACACTCACAACTTCCAGCCACCGACATTCTGAAGCATTCAAGCAGATGGTGCTAGCCGTCGGAGATGAGCAACGCTAAGCCCTAAAACGGCGCAGTCCGGACGGTTTAGTGTACACGCGTCGTCTAGGATGCTCTTCCTCTCGGCGAAAAAGATGCTCGAAACCATGCAGCCTCTTCTCGGGCTCCCTCTTTCAACGGTTCAGGATTCTACGATCTGTAGACCTACAGTCTACATTTAGTTCTCCACTATACCCGGAGCCCTGTAAATACATTACAAGGACCCTGCAAAGCAAAGTACAACTTGCCCACATCCAGGAAACGATGATCCGAACCAAAAAGGTGAGCCCTCATGCACTGTGTGGCTTCCCTGGGCACGCAGCTCCGCAAACTGCCCAAACCCTTAACCCAAAAGTCATACGACGGTATGTAAACCCTAAAGCACCTAATCACATGAGGTCTAAAGACCTGAGATCCTATTTAAAGGATCATGGGACTTAGTAATTTAGGTTGCTATTAGGGTAACTATACTTAAAACTACTTATAACCCCAATTAAGTTACTTATAACCTTACTTACTTAAGCGCTCACCTAGGCACTCGTCGTCTAGGAGTGCCACGGAAATCTTTGGAGGCGGCTTGACCTGCCCGGAAGGGGCCGATGATTGCAGAAAAACACGAAACAGCTTAGGGTTTAGGGTTCAGGGTTTAGGAGTTTAGGTTTTATGTAGGGTTTAGGGGTTTAGGATTTAAATTTAGGAAGGGCGAGCAGAACCAAAACATCGACTCAGCCTGCCAACGTTCCGGGTTGAGAAATCTGGGAACATCGAAACATGCAGCAACCCAAGCGCAGAGCCGTGACACCACTTCGAAGCCCAAACAAAGACTACTGTAAGGGCCTAAATAATTAGGACAAGGTGTTGGGGGTTCTTCAGTATAGCTGTAATACAATACCCCCCAAAACCCTCTTCAAACTACGGAGGCCCCGACATTACGCAAACCCCAAACTGCCTAATTTCCGAACACCGAACACGCAAATCGTGCAACCCCCCGGCACCTCGTGCAGCACCACCCCGGTTGTCTGGGCTAAACGAGCGCCAGAGACCTGGCATGGCGGGGAGCATCTCAAAGACTGTTGCTCAAAGCTTCGGGCTGGGAGTCCGAGGTTGCTAGGCTGCTGTCTTTAAGGCATAGCTTAACGGGAACACTAAGTTGCAAGAGGCTCCACGAGGACGACCACGACGACGACGCCGACCACGACCACGACGACGACCACAACCGACGAGCACAACAAAGAACAATGGAAATACTGCCACTACGACTGCGACTGCGACTACGACGACGACGACAGCGGCGAAGACGACTACCACTGCTCCTACTCCTACTGCTACTACCACAAATACGACGACGACGACGACTACCACTAGTTTACTACGACTACGGCTACGACTACCACTACTACTACTCCTCCTCCTGCTGCTGCTGCTGTTGCTACGGCTACGACTACGACTAAGACTCAGGCCAGGACTAGGACTAGGACTCGGACCTAGGACTAGGACTACGACTACGGCAACGACGGCTACTGCCCCTCCCTCCTTCTGCAACTACTGCCATTCCTACTGCTGCTAACAACACCACCACCACTACCACCTGCCCCAGCAGCACCACCCCGAGAACTGGTAATAAGCCTTCTTCTACTGTCCCTTCTCCTGCTGCTACTGCAGCTGCTTCTTCTAATATAGGGGCCTTAATAATTAGAATAAGGTCTTGGGGACCATTGTACTTTAAAATTGTATAGGTAATTATTAAGTCCCCTAATATAGAACCCTATCACTGTAGATCCCTTATAGACCCTTTAAGGAACCCTTTAAAGGAACCCCCACTGACTGAAGGAGCGGGCCTGGAAGCTCAGCTTTCCCGGAGGGTCCGTGCAAGGAGTCCCATCGTGGCAGTTTGGATTGAAGTCCTTCGGTTGATGATATAAATCCTGCATTACTTTCATGACCCGAGACTATGGGATTTATACTATATTCCTCATTATGGGTCATGCAGGATTTATACCATCGACCGTTCCGATGTCTGATTGTTTTGGGATTGTTTGGGTTGGGAAACAGGGTGCTGCAGGCGTCCTCGGTAAAGCAAAAGGACGAAAGTTTGGGGTTTAGGTGGTGTTTGCCAATATCAACAATTAGTAACCCGAAAATCTCCAGTGCACGACTTTGCAGCGCAAATGCGCAGCTCTCTGTGATCCCGTCGACCCTGATGCATCGCTCGACAGCATCTTTGCCCCAGGGGAAACTTCAAGTCGACGCTGCATGGTGGCTATACGGTCCTGGTGATGATGGTGGTGGACGGGTTGTCACAAGCGGTTGTAGCAGAGGAGGAGGAGGAGGAGGAGGAGGAGGAGGAGCAGGAGCGGGACAGGTTTCGAAGCACAGCTGCTGTAGCTGCCACGTCTACTGCTGGTGCTTCGCAAGACCCGTGTTCAGTCGCAGTGCAGGCTTCTGCGTGAACACCGCTACAAGAAGGAACGGCAGTACCAATATACCAGTGCCACACGTAGCAGTAGGAGTGAGGAGTGAGGAGTAGGAGCTGAGTAGGTGTAGTAGTAGTAGTAGTAGTAGTAGTAGTAGTCGTAGGAGCTGGTGGTCTCAAAACCCAAACCCTCAGAAGCCCCAAAATCCCAAAACCCCGAGAATTCTTGAGCCCTCCGCTGGCTCGAAGAGCAGAGACAGAGCTGGGGCGCCCCACGAAGCAGAACTTGGCCACAACCTTGGCCTGGCCCGGGCCTGCTTGTGAGCTTTCTTGGGTTTGGGTTTAGGGGCTTCGGGGTTTAGGGTTTAGGGTTTAGGTTTTAGGGGTTTAGGGGTTTAGGGGTTAGGGTTTAGGGTTCAGCAGCTCTAGTCGAGCAGTATCTAGTCGAGAGGGTGTAGCGTCTGGGGCGTTTGGGGGGTTGTGGGTCTTCGGGGCTTGCGGTTTGTAGGGTTTGGGGTTCAGGGTTCAGTTGGGCACTCAGGCTGTGATTAAGTTGTTTCTTTTTTAAGCTCCTTTCTAAGCTAGTGTCCGCCAGGTCATCGGCAAGCACTAAGGCCTGATCAGGCCAGGAGTTCCAGGACCCTTGATTAAGTACAGTAGTTTCTTTTTTTTTAGGTGCAGTGGCTCTTTCTACAGTAGTTTCGGGCTTTGGGGTTTAGGGAGGCTGCAGATTGCGAGGCCTCGGCCGGTTTTGGGGGTGGAGTTTTCGGATTATGATTAGTTACCCTACTTATAACTCTACTTATAACTACCCATGAACCTCCAAGTAAGCTGCCCCATCAAGGTCAGTCTTCAAGCACACGGGGCAAGGGAAAGGGTATAGGCGAGACGGGCAGTTAGCAAGGAGGAAGAGGGTGCGCTCCTTAAAGAAAGTACGTGACAAGAAAACCTGATGGCCTATTTCAGTTATGAAGGCCCTTGTATGACAGCTCAACAGGTCCAAGGATGTCACCTGACGAAGCTCTCTGGCTTTCAAGGGGGGGATAAGTACTTTGAAGTCGAGAACTCACAGGGTGTTGTCTTGCCTGCGAAAGCTTGGGGCTTGCATCCTAACCCTTAGACCCCAAATCCTAAACCCCTAAACTCCTACACCCTAAACCTCTAAACCCCTAAACCCCTAAACCCCTAAACCCCTAAACCCTAAGCCTCAAACCCGTTAACCCTTAAACCCTAAAAACTACATTACAGCAACCCCTGTATCGCCTAGTGATGCGCGGCCGCTGAACTTGCGCGCGGACGCAATATCCTCGGAAGAGTCTGCATGAGTTTAAGTGACGGGCTTAGGGCTCGGGGCTTGGAAAATTTTGGCTGCATTTGTAGTGTAAGGTATTCTCAACCCCAAGCCCAAAACCTGAATCCCTAAGCTCTACATCCCTGAACCTCAAAACCCCGAATCCCTAGGCGCTTAAACCCTAAACCCTAAGCAACCCTTAACAACCCTAAACCTATCAACCCTTCAAAGCCCTAAACTCGTAAACTCCTGAAGCCCGGCGTTAGTAACTGAGGGTCGACGTGCAAGTACGTGCACCTCTAAAGGGCCTTGAGAACTCGAAGAGGGTTCTGGGGTTTAGGATTTTGGGTTTTGGGTTTGAGAGGTGCTGAAATATGGGGGCCTTGAGCATGCGAATGGGGTGCCAGGCTTCTCATAAGCTGCCACAAGGATTTATGGGGGACTATACCAGTCTTATGTTTTGGGCTCCCCCAAAAGGCTGCTTCAAAGGGACCCTAATTCAGAGAAGAAGCCACATGTCCAAAACATGGTACTGAGCGTATAACCGCACAGAGCTTTTGGTATCTGCAGCTTCACGCAGAAAGCTCTTTGGGGCCAACAAGCATACCCAGAACTGCATACTCGTCCTCTGGAGAGGATTGGCAAATGATTTACAATTGAGTGGCAGCCTTTCGTGTTCAGCGCCACCTTCTGGATGTCTACAGAAAGCTTGACAACCCTAAAAACGACAGAAACACGGCAGCGGTGCTCCAAAACCTGCTTCGAGCTGCTGCAGTGGCTTACAACGTGCACAGTGCGTCCTTGTGCTGTACCCAGAGACTCCAATATCCCTTAACTAAGGGATATTCCTTAAATCATAGTAGGATCCCTAATATGATTTAAGGAATATTCCTTAATTCAGGGATATTGGCATCTCTTGCATCCTTCTACGGTTTGCTTACCTTTGGTTAGTAGGGAATGGAAGATTGGTAGTAATAGTAGTTATAACTATACCCCATTCCTCCATTCCCTACTTGCCAAAGGTAAGTTTAAGGGCCGAGGGTCTCTGTTTGAGCATTTTCTGGGGACTTCTCTTGGCCCTCCCAACTAACCAAAGGTAAGTTTGTGCCCAGGAGCTGCGTCGATGGCGGAGAGGAAAAGCACCAAGGCGCAACATTGGCACCCGGCGCCGAGGCGCATGGACGGACCCCCAGGAAATCAAAACCAGAAACCCTGAGCCCAAACCCTCTATGCTCTGAAGCTGAGATGGGATCGGGGACGTGAGAGGTAGTTCAGGGCTTAGGGTATAATGTGGGGTTTCAGAGTTTCGGGCCTTCAGTCCGGCAGGGACCCCCTAAACAAGATACCCCTTGCAAAATGTCAAACATCACTGGAAACCCCATTTGTATATATATATATATATACATATACATATACATATACATATATATAGATACACATATATTAATATATATATATATATATATATATATGTATATATGTATATATATATATACATATTTTCTATCTCTGTGTGTGCAAGACCTTATTCAGCAAAACAGACTCGTAATCTTCCGAAGCCCCAGATCATGTCAGGAGCTGTGGCTTGCTGGAAGAAGCATGGCTGCAGCGAGTACTTGAACTGTTGCCCTATGGTTTCGGGTTTACGGCTTCTTCTCCAAGCTCCCAGAGACTCCAATATCCCTCAATGAGGGTATATTCCTTAAATCATACTAGGGATTCTACGATAATTTAAGGTATATTCCGTATACTCCTTGATTAAGGGATATTGGAGTCTCTGGGCTCTTGAGTCATTGATCTTCGAGGTTGGGGGATCAGGGCTCAGGCTGCGGATCTGTGCGGTTTAGGGTTTAGGGTTTAGGGTTTAGAGTTTAGGGTTTAGGGTTTAGGGTTTAGGGTTTAGGGTGCCATAATACCCTGAAAAAAGGCCCCAAAACCATACTAGGTACCCACAAGGGCGTTGGGATAGCTGATGAAGAACCCAGGGTTCGGCGCTACACCCCATTTGAGAACCGGCACGCCGAAACTCCAAGCTCTAAAAACCAGATCTCAAATCTGCGAAGAGTGCAGGCACATGCACAGCAGATGAGCCGGGCCTGCGGATTTGGGAGCTTAGGGAACAATTTAGGGTCGAAGATTTAGGTGTAGAACAACGCCTACGGCGCAGGGTTTTATTCTTCAGGTTTAAGATTTGGAAAAGCATCGTGACTGTTCAAAGACGGAGGCATGCGCATCTGCTACATCGACATGCAGGACGCACGGATAAGGGTGCACGGTGTAGGGTTTGGGGTCTCGGTTCAGGGTTTAAGGTTTAGGAGATTAGGGAGTGCGGTTTGCTTCAGAGCGCATCTGGCTTCGCGAGCTCCGGCTGTAGCGGCCGAAGTGAAGGCAGTGCTTAAGGCATCCCGAGCGGCGGTAGAGCAAATCCTGAAATGGATTGGGATAATGGCTTGATAAGTGTACTCCCACCCAGCAATTCACTCTATTGTTGGGGATATCCCCGGTCCATCCTCCCAACATCCCAAACATGATTTACAATCTACGTTACCGAGCCCACTCTGCAACTGCAGTCCTTGTCGGCTTTGGGCCGACTCTAGGGCTCTAAGGCTTTGGGGCGTTGGGTTTGGGGTTTAGGATTTTCGGGCTTTGGGGTTTTTGGGTTTTTGGGGGTTTACCAGGGCTTTGCATAGGGGCTTTGGGGGTTTCAGGAATTGGGGTTCAGGGCATTTAGGGTTTAGGGTTTTTTGTGGGCTTTACGGTTGAGGCTTGGGGCTTGGAGTCTAAGACATTCCTGGACTCCAACCTGAAGTGGAGCTTTTCTGCGATGCGCTACACATCTTCGAGAATTTTGTGAAACAGCTCGTCGTCTGCGTCGGGAACGACCTCCGGATCCTTGCAGGAAGGGATGGAGTCGGACATGCCACTGCAGGGCAGGTACAGAAACTGACATCTCAAAAACACCGTCTAGATTACTCCCCCAAGACACGATCCCTAAACCTTAAACGGTACACCATTTCGTGTCCGTGGTCAGCTACAGCACCAGCAGTGGAAAGGTTGGACACACGCAAGCGTACTCGATACGCGTGATCCTCCATCTGCAAGAGCCAGAGCGATGCACAGGAGTTGGGGGGATGTCTGTCTGGCAACCCTCACAACGCCTCCAAAGTGTCCACAATGGAGAAGCTGTCGAAATACTCTTCCTCGGATAATATAGGGGCCTTAATAATTGGCATAGAGTGTTGGGGCCCACTGCACTATAATCATACGAAGGAACCCCCAAAATAGTATAGGTAATTACGAAGGCCCCTACAGCAAGTGAGGATGAGGCTTTCAAATGTGCAGAACGAAGTGAGATCTTGCAGCGCTACCCTAAACCCTAAACCCTAAACCCCTAAACCCTAAACCCCTAAACCCTAAACCCTAAACATTAAACCCTAAACGCTAGGCCAACCGACTTGGGGGGGACTCCAGCTCCTGTATGCTTTCTGCCTGCAGGCTGTCTCCCTACACTCTCAACCCTTGAACCCTCAAAACCCTAAACCCTAAACCCTAAACCCTATACCGAGAAAGTCCTAAAGCAAGCTCCTGAACCCTAAAGCCCTGCTTCTGTGCTTTCTTGTTGTTGGGACGGGGCGGAGCCAGAGTTTCATGCTTGGGCTTCGGGTGGAGAGGGGTTTAGGGTTTAGGGGTTTAGGGCTTAGGGTTTAGGGGTTTAGGGTTTAGGGGTTTAGGGGTTTAGGGTTTAGGGTTTAGGGGTTTAGGGTTTAGGGTTAAGGGGTTTTGGGTTTAGGGTTAAGGGGTTTTGGGTTTAGGGTTTAGGGTTAAGGGGTTTAGGGTTTAGGGTTTTGCTTAAGGGCTTTTTCCCGTCTGCCAGTTTAGGGCTCAGGGTGAAGAGTGTTTAGCGTTTGGGGTTCTTAGCTTCAGGAGGTGTCGGGTGGAGAGTTTAAGGCTCCTGCTGTAAGATTGATTATGGCCACAGTCTGCGATGGCAGGGCCTTGGTTTAGCGCCTCGGGTTGAGGGTTGTAATGTAGGAACCTGATTAAGAAACCCTGGCCCTGTAACCCCAATGTATTAAGATCCATATTAAGAACCCTAATAATGGCCCAAGGTTTCTTCACTCTTACATTAGGGCTGAAGACTTTGGGCATGGATTGTCGGGTTTCGTGGAATGCCAGCAAAGCCTCATGAAACAAGAAAAAGTCGGAACCTAGAAACTGATTTCAGAAGGAATGCTTGTCTGTCTGGTGCTTAGTAGGGAAAGGGGGAATGGGTTTAGGGACTATTATTGGGGATTATACAGGGGAGGAGTGCTTGCTCAAACTTATGGAAACTTGACATCGGCATGTATACTGGCTATACCTCATTCCGCATGTCCGTCAGTCCATCGGTCGGTCGGTCGGTCGGCCAGTCTGTCTGCCTGTCTGTTTCTGCAGCTACGCACGCGCTGCGACGCTTGAAAGAGGGGCCTACATTAATTACCAACGCAATATTGCGGCTCAGTATACCCTCAAACCCTATCGAATCATTATGCCTTAAAGAACCAAACTGCAACGATGCTAAACTATACCGCAAAACCCGTTTGGAGTTATTACAGGCCCACAACTATACTGGTTAGACTAGAACGATAACATACCCCAAAACCGAAACCCTAGTCTTCGTAGCGAGGCCCCTTTTTTATGCGTCATGCTGTCTCCCTCTCCAGGCGCTTGTCTTTCTTTCCTGCTTCGGACCACAAGGTGAGCGATTAAGTTCGCCGTGCAGTATGCACGTCCTGCGTGTCGCTACGTTCGGACACCGAGCATCGCTTCAAAGTCAAAAAAAACTCCCTCTCTACATCCGCCGAGGTGCGAAGTCGAAGCAGGGCTCTTCCTGGCATGCTTGTTCGGAGTTTAGGGTTCAGGGGTTTGGTGGTTTAGGGGGTTAGGGTTTACGATTTAAGGGTTTAGGGTTTTGGGGGTTTAAGGTTTAGGGGTTTAGGGTTTTGGGTTCCGGAGTTTAGGCTTTAGGGGTTTAGGGGTTTAGAGGCTTAGGGATTAAGGCTTTCGGGCTTAGGCGTTCAGGGTCTGTGCTTTAGCTTTTTAGGGCTTGGGGACCCTCGGTTGCCTCAACCCTTAGACAACACTTCAAGAGTCCCCAGACACTCCCATACCCCTTAATAAGGAATATAACCCTAAACCCTTAATAAGGAAATAATTTAGGAATATTACCATAAGTTATAGTAGGATCCCTGATATGAGTTTAGGAAGATTCCTTAGTTAAGGGGTATTGGAGTCTCTGGGTCCTTCAAGAACACTTTGAAGAACCCTTGAAGAGGCCTCGCCCGGGGACACGGAGACATCGATGCTCCGGATCTGAGCGAAGGCCGAGAGACCAAAACCAATTCTCAGAAGTATTCCGTAGGAGAAGAAGCCTCGTAGCTTGGGGTAGGATAAGACGCCTGAAGGTGATGACTAAGCTGACGATGACTATGATCATGATGATGGCGGCTGCGGAACAACATCACCGGGGCTGTGTAGACCTCTCCTACTACAGTAGCATTGGGGGCTGGCGTTGAAGTTCGGTTGCAGGGCTCCCTGGGCCTGGACCCAAGATGCTTGTAGAGCTAAATCCTGCTGTATTCCTCGGGTGTGTGTGTGTGTGTAAGGACGCCATACCCTGAATCATAAATCCTTTGCCCAAACCCTACCCTAAACCCCTAAACTCTAAACCCCAAACCCTAAACCCTAAACCCTAAACTCTAAACCCCAAACCCTAAACCCCTCTAGGATTCTGACACCTCACAACTTGAACCCCAAACCTGCTCCCACCTGGGACCCAAAAGCCGCTTCCGACTAGTTTTGGGTCGGATCCAAAGTTAAGAAGTTAAGGTTCAATGTAGGAACCTGATTAAGAAACCTTGGGCCTTTATTAAGGGTTCCTCATGTAATCCTACTATTTTGGGGTGATAGGCCCAGGGTTTCTTAATCAGGTTCCTACTTAGGGCTGTGGTTAGGAAGACTGCAAAAGCTCATTTTGCCTCTCTTCGAAACATAGTCATCCACTTCTCAACATTCAGTTTCCCCTGGGCCCCCAGACCCTGCACCAGTCCCGTCTGTCAAGGAGGAACTAGGTGCTGCGATGCATTCCACTTTCATTAATGGCTGTCTCCCTTGATCTAATAGAGGGGCCCTAGTGATTA